GCATCGCTTAAATGTTTGGGTTTCAACAAATTTTGTTGTTGTTGTCTGCTGGTAAAATTTTTTGACGTATAAATATTTGAAATTTTGTGCCTATTATAAACACAAAAAACAAAAATGAAAGATGTATAATTCTCAAAATAATTAGTGAAAAAGTGATTATTACAATTACGTTTAGCAAAATCTGAACGTTTTTGAATTATCGTTGAAGTGGGGAGGTAGGAAATGTTAGAAGAGAGCGGGTGGGAGGAAAGAGAGAAGGGATAAGAAGAGGAGGAGGAGAAGAGGTGGAACATGACTGACCTGTTAGCATTTCCTTTTTGGGTTAGTATGATTCACAAAATTGACAATCACAGTTAATATTTTATATTATACACTAAGCATTACTCGTATTTAATACCAAATTTTTATTTTTCAAAATTTTAATTTTAGATTTCTTTTCAGTCTTACTCTACGCCAGTTTCGCTACACAATTTGTTGGTTGCGAACAAAGTGATGTCAGGAGCGATGAGTCATTGACAAGTGTTGTTAAACAGTTTTTCAACGGTACGCTTGTTATTCCTTTCCATAGCTACTTTTATTTCGCTTTCATTTGTACTTCTTCAAATACAACACGACTGGTTTCCCAGATTTCCAAAGCATCAAAAATGTGGTCGATTCTGATCTTGTCATTAGTATGGTTAAAAATGATACCTGAAAATAATGATGAAAAAATGACTTGCATGCCAATAGTTGTGAGTCAAGTATTATTAGATTGATTCAGCAACATTGGCAAAACTCAGCTGTTTATGCTATTACAATTATTTTTTCTTTATAATTTTAAGCTACAGAGTAGCATAACAAATTTAGGCGAGAAAATTCAAAAAAACCCTAATTTAGCTTTCACCTCTTAATCTTAATAAGTTTTTGCCTCACTTTTTGAATGGTTTTGGAAACGCAAAAAAATGCAATATAAGAGTCTGAGGAGTCTTTTTGACATGCCAAAAGCTGTACGGCTTGGGTAGACCTTCAAAATCTGATTTTTTTGGTGGGTGTGAGGTTTCAAAATAGAAACATCAAAGAGAACAAAACTGGATTTTTCTTTTCATATAAGTATTTGTTATTCCCTCATCTTCGTTCTTGGCAACAATGTTTTAGTGAAATAATCTATCAAAGTAACTCATTAGATTAAGTCACGTTTTTAAGTGCTATGTTGGACTACAATATTAGCAAAACGTAAAAAAAGATGCGCTACTTCTGACTCAAGAACATTGCTCTTTTTTTGGCCCATTTATGACAACTAATTGTGACAATACAACACCCAAACTTTTTAGTTAAATAAAAAAGGAATTTTTATCAAAAGACTACTCGCCTTTATATCAAAAAAACAAGTGTAATTTTTAAAAGCGACCTGTAAAACTTCTGATCACTTTTTTCTCAGTTCTGTGCTAAAGAGAGTTTACTACCGCCATCTGTTATCAAAAATAATGTTACACTCTTTACTTTTGAGCAGTGCCTGTTTAATCGTTAATCAAAATTCGTAAAACTGTTGAAGAATAGCTAAACTCTTTTTTTAGATGCTCGATTTTACAATGAAGAAACTTTGCAAGGTTCTGAGGTCCATCTTCGAGTTAAAAGAGACATTAAAGTAGGAACTTTGATTGGAATTATAGCTGGAGGCATCGTGGCATTTGTGATTATCGTTGCCCTTATCATACTAATCATTTGTAAGTGCTGCGTCTGCAGCTGCTGCGAAGATGGCAGCGATTTTGGTGGTTCAAGGTATGAATCTCACATGCCAGATGGAGAACTCAAGCATCCCATACCTGATATGGATGGAGAATACGAGCCGCCGGTGAAAACTCCTCTAGAAGCTGAACCTTATCGCGGGGCCCTTGAAATGGCCTTGAATCCCGCTACATTACAGGAAAATAAATTTGAAGCGATGGCAAGCAAAGAACGTGAGCCAGGAAGAAAAAAAAATAAGAGGCCAGGGGAATTTGAAGCGCCACCAACAAACCCAGCAGCTTTCGCCCCGCAATCAAGACCAGAATTGCTTCATCCAAAAGAAGGAGGAGCACTGCAAGTGGCAGAAGGAGAACAACCTCCCCTGAACGGTTTTCAACAGCCACCATACGCAGAACAGTTGGATTTACTGAACAGCCAGATGACTGACGGTCCTCTTATAACAGCAACAGCAGCAACTGAGAGTGGTGATCGCCAATTTCTGCCTCATTTGAATATTGCAGCACCACCAGTAGCAGCACCAACACCAGCAAACAGGTACTATGGGGGTGGTTATGACAATTACAACGATAACTTTGTCAATAAGGGGGTACGCCGCACTGGAACGATGCCGGGAGCACGACCGCTTCCTGGAATGGCCAACAGCACCGAGTACAAAAACGCGTTTGACAGAAAGCTGCCGCGCTTTTGATTAGTGAACTTTATATTTTCTCATTTTTTCCTTTGGTTTACTCTGTAAAAGTCGTACAGTTTGATCAAATTTTGCTTGTAAATATGTTCCTAACTCTCCAGAATAATTTGCATTTCTTCGTCAGTCTTAGTTGTGAAAATAGTACATGTAGGTTACTCGTATTAGACTGATGATAAACAGTGCTTTTGTTAATCTCAGATATAGAGTAGAATCTTGAAAGGAATGGTCTTTTAAAGCATTGGATTTTGCCTTTTTTCTTTTATTGTCATATCCAGTAGTTAAAAGACCTGCTGTCATATTGACCACAATCTTTTGTTATCCTTTCGGTTTGCTGACTTCGCAACAACGATGGGTTTCTCAATTTCACTTCCAACCTTACGTAGCAAAAGTCTGTAATTGAACTGAAATAGCAGTAAACTAATTTTTGTCAAATCTGCAGTAAGGCACAGGTCTTGACGAATGATTATAGGCCAAATACCAGCATTACAAATTAACAACCAACAGAATTCCTAGGTTATGTCACTTATTCCAGATAAAGAGTAAGGCTAATTAAGCCTTCCAATAGCTGCGTCTTGAATTTTGCGAAGTATTGCTTCACCAAGCTTGTACAGATTTATCAACTGTCAGTTATTCTCTTGAGAAATGTCTTTGAAAGAGAAAAAACTGCTTTGAAAATATTGCTTTGTTATTGAATTGTAGCATCTGTGTTTTTTTTTTT